GTGCGTGGCTGTGGTTGTGTGTCTGTGCGGGTGCGTGTGAGTGAGCGTGTGGTTCTCGTCTTTCCCCACACCCTCCACACCTACACCGACACCCACACCGACACCCACACCCACACCCACACCCACACCCACACCCACACCCACACCCACACCCCACCCTTGAACAGAAAATCGGACATTGCCAGAGTGTGCCGATAGCTTTACTTAAATATGCGTATCGTAAGATCTGTTTAAAAACAAAATATCAATAAGAATTTAATACCGGTAGAAAAATCAGTATATAGTATCAGCATTTTAGCCTTGATAAAACCTGTTTATGATACCAGGCAAATAAACAGAGATTCAATGATAGAGAAGTTTTATTGTCTTTTAGATATAGACTAATATCAATACTGACTATCTATATCCGAATAAGAATGTAAATTATGAAGTATAAATAAAAAATGTCTATCCTCATTGTTTGAAATAATCAATATGAAAATGCAATCGTAAAAAAACTAACATTTTTTTTTCACTCTGTTTATTTTTGATTTCTTCTCAACATTAAATACCAATAGAGTATATTTTATATAGAAATACATTTCTTCATTGATCTTCTATGAATAGTTTCAAAATTATATGAAAATACAAAATAAAATTTATTTATTCTGTCGTTATATTCACTACACAATAATAAATAACCATAATAAAGCATAGAGAATATTTTTAATAGAACACAACTGATAAATACAAATGAACATATTTCTCGAATGAATATCTGAAATGCTCAGATACGAATAAAGCAAAAGAATAGTTCTTTTTTTTTATAAAGTTATTTTTATAATACAAAATTCAAGTAATTCTTCTGTTGTTAACGCAAATCATTTTGCATTATGCATTTTTTTTCAAGGAATAACTAAGTTTTATTTGATATTAAGGATATAGTCACATAAATGTACACGCTGCTCTCTTTCTTCTCGTTCACATCTGCGAAAAGAAAGAGAACTAGTAAAGACAAGTTTCAATTCTGAGTAAAGGCATATAGATAAATCTGTATCCAGTTATGCTACCAGAAGTTTAAATGTTGGCTATGTATGCACATGGATGGTGTGGTAATTTATAAAGAAGAGAACTCTAAGCTGTATGAGTTATTGTAAAGGATTGAAGCAATATAGTGAAATCAAACTGTACGATCTTGTATAAACGTGCAAGAATCTGTGACTGATCTCATTGTCTGATTGGATGACTTGGATTCACTCGTTTTGACTAAAACTTTCAGAATGTAATAAATGCTATGAGATCTGTTGTTGGAGAAAATTTCAAATAAAAACTCCTTATTACAGTTTTTTTTGTCATATCTTGCAATATGCTGAAAGTTCAATAAATCGATCATGGGAGGTTTAAGGACATGAACAAGTTTAATGTTTTCATCATGACTATGAGTCCTACTTATGAGCTCAAACAGAGGATATTAGTTGGAGAGATTCTCTCAATATCTATTTGCTGATAAATATGACATAAAAAAAAGATGTTTTCCCATGTTTTTATTACAGTCATACAAGCTAAATTATATTTAACAAACAAAACGATTAATATATATTATCTAGTTTATATTCGATCAAAAGTTTTCGTTCCTCTGAGTTATTATTCAAACCATAACACAAAAACAAGGAAATATTTGCTACTTTTCGACAAAATATATGAAAAAATATACATCTTCATGAATTTTCAGGTGTAGTAATAGAAATTGGTGATGTGATTGGATGTTTTTTTAGTTTTACATTTGGTTCTTATCGTTGTAACATTTCAGTAACAGCATGATGAAAACCTGATTGATTAAATAAAAATGCACTAACATGTCCATGAGGAATATATCAAATATGAACACCAGACCATAACATCATTCATATGTGGAATACCATCATGTAATACATACCCATCATGTGTACAAGCAATAAACATAGCATTAGATATATTTGATTGAATTGGACGTGAATAATTATGTAAAGATGTAAATTCATTCATAAGAAGACGCATCATATCTTTAATAGGATCGAGAACAATTCTATTTGAATCTATTGATCTATTTCATTCACGTAAATAATCATAAAATGTTTGATAGGCTTTATTTTCATAGAATTGTCGTTTTAAAAGAGACCATGGAATAGTACGTGAAAGTACACCATCACAAAATACTGTTGAGCTTGATGACCAAGAAGCACAGGATACAAGAGAAAGTGGAACAGGCCAACTAAAATATAAATATATACACGATGGCTACCAAAATTATTCAACTTTTACTCAACAAAAAGCTGTCGTAGAGAGCTCAAGTACTAGATACTGAGAAATTAGGCTTTTGATTTTCTAAAAACTCTAACTTAGGGAATCAAATAATCAATTTTTTTTAATTTATATTCTTTTTGTAATATGGCTTGCTCTATTTGAATCACTATTTGAAATTATGATAGATACTGTATATCCATTTATTAATTGATCAAATAATAGAATTGAATCTTACTTTGTAAATGTTAATGAAGCCATATGTCCACCAAGAGAAAAACCATGTAAAATAGCTGGTGTTAATTTCATTTTTTGACACCAATGAAGTAATACAAGTGTTTCTAAAACAAGTGCTTTACCCATGATATATAAATCGGTAACATACAATAATGATGAACGAGATTGATCTGGTGGTTTTCTTAAATCGTAATATGGATTTTCAGGGTGTGGATGTGGGTGTTCTTTTCATCCGCACCCACGTCAACATGCACACACCCACATCTACACATCCGCACACCCACACCCACACCCACACACCCACACACCCACACCCACACCAACATCCACACCCACATAGGTAGACAAATATAATAATGCCGCGACGTTGTCGTGGAACAGCGTCGCAAAAGATTAATTGGCATACTTCCTGGTTTCAGTTCATCATGCTTTTTTACCCTATGTGTTGAAAGTTGATTTTCACAACCTAATAGCATTTGTTCAAAAGCATTGAGAATAAAGTGTTGTGTGGCAACATTTTTGAAACCTTTACTACGACCAGCCCATAAGAAATACATAGGTGAATCGTCTTTAAAACATACTTGAAATCGTGTTTGGGAAGTTTAACAAAAGAAATAAATGTAACTTAATTATCAAAAAAACAAAAGAGTCAGAAAACGTTCTGCGTTATTGGTAATCAATGTGCCCAGCAAGTCGAAGATTGATCAAGTGGACCATGCATCCACAGACGAGTATCATTTCGTACATTGCCATAAGCGAAGAAACCCCATCCACCACTCTGTATTTTGTCAGCATTAGCAGTCCATTCGCTTCCAGAATATGTTAGCCCATCTGCTCCACCCATGCCAGAAATCCACTTGCTCATTTCATTCCAGGATTCCACTATCCAACCAGTTCCGAATGTTAATGTGCAAAAAGCATCAACATCTTGTCGTGTTTGAAATTGGCTTGCTTTGACCGGTGTTGTACTAGCAACATTACCTTAGTGAAAGCAGAAAATCACAATGAAAAAAAGATCATATTAACCTGTCCAAATGTAGAAAGCATAGAATGTGTGCTTTTTTGTTCTGAATAGCAGACGAGAAAATTAGAAGTAACTTTTACTCACCACGACCCCAACCGAAATAAAACCAGTAAGGCATCGCACAACTGGTACATCCTGGATCAATAACAGGATAGGCTGGACGTGGGCTGTTATCGATATTAACGCAGAGAACGGGTAAGGCTGTTTCACAATCAGTGTCTCCTGTATATGCATTGCACGTTTTCACTCCATCGAAACCGGCGGGTGCATGGCAACTAAAATTATCAATACCGAAACGGGAATCATGTGTAGTCTTTATGAATGTCATGCCCGTTTTACCTAAAGTTTCACAAAAACAAACATGTGAAGAAAAATAATGATTTTTATTGCATACTCATAGCTGAACCAACCGCATCAACAAGCAGAAGGAAAAGAACTTTATTCATATTTCAATGTGCAGAACGACGTATACGTTGCTGTTGTGGAAGGAGAGTGTATTTGTTTTCTCTTTCGCATCTATTATATACACTGCAATAAAACGGCACTTATGACTATTTGCATATGTGCCATTGGCTTGTATGACGAAAATTTACTTTCGCTTTCGGCCTAAAAAGATCGAACGAAATAAGCTCATCCACGTGCTAAAAAAACCTCGTAATAGGTTGTTTATCGATTTTGACACATATGCATATAGTTTAACATCAGACTGCAGTGTCTTGTGAAAGGTTTACATTGCCTATTCACATGTAAATGTTGAAGTGCACTTTTTTTCATCACCTCTCTGCCCATAGTGGCGTAAAACGAGTCTAATGAAAACAGTGAATGGTGCACTTTTGCCTGTTTGAGCGAAATATTGAAGAGCAGCTTGTTATTCAGCTGTTCTTTAAGGGTACTCCCCTCTTTTGTGAAACACGATCTGAAAGGAGTGTTGAAGTATATAGGGAAGAAAGGAGGTGTGTCAAATTCCTATCCAGACGTACCAAAAAATGTTAACCTCATTTTATTATCCTAATAATCAGCATTCATTCATGATTATTTTTCACAAGTTTATTTCGTGTTTTTCCACAACTCACTCTTGCATCCCTGGAGTATCCCCCAGGCATCGAAAAAAAATTTTTTTTCGTTTTTCCATTCGAAGTCTTTGCAGTTTGCTAGAACTCGGTGTGCTGATTACAAATATCATCTTATTTTCAAAAATTGATCGGATAATAAAAAACATCTGAAGGACTTTCTGGGACCCTAAAGAACCAGTTTTTGCCCGGAAAGTCCATGAATATCCGATGAAAGTTTATCGAAAATAGGCTCATTCGACGCAGAATTTTTTTCTATCAGATTCCATAAGATGGTCTAAGATATTCGAATTTTTTTCCATCGATAAATGCAGAATACCGCCCCCATTGGGTTTTATTTTTACATATAGCGATTCTTTTCAGTCTTATGAAATTATACTTTATACAGGCGTACCAGCGTGAATTTTTTATTGGATATGTAATTTGATATGCTCTTTCTAATGAGACTATATTCAATAAGAAACTCAATGTCTAGTGAAGCACTTTTATCCCTAGACTTGAATTTTTTTAGGGTGGAGTGTGGGTGTGGGTGTAGGTGTGGGTATGTGGGTGTAGTGCAGGTGTTGGTGTGTGGGTGTGAGGCAATAAAGAAAACAACACCCATACATCCACACCCACATCCCACACCCCACACCCCACACCCACACCCATACCCACACCCGCACCCACCCACACTCACACCCACCCATACCCACACTCACACCCAC